AAATATACGAAAAACAAAAATTAATTGAATGATAATTTATAAATTATTATTTTAATTTTTTTTTATTTCAACAATTATTATTTGAATTATTATTTTGACATGTATTTTTAATTACTTCTAAGTGAAAATTGTAATTATGAAAATATTATTAAAAAATATTTTTAATTAAAAAATATAATAATAATTTTAACTCAATTGAAAAGTATTATTAATTTAAACTAAAATTTGAAAATTATATATATAATAACCAATAATTTAAAATTTTGTCCTTCTTTACATGATTTTTTCGGCTACGCGACTGCTCAAACTTTGTAGTCAAGGATTCGAGTCCTATGTTGGGATCCCCCTCCCCCCCACCCTCCACCCCCTTTTTTTTTCCACCTCCCCTTGCCTTTTTGTGCCTTCTTTTTATCTTCCTCTTCTGTCTTGTTTTTGCTCTCTCCTCGTACAACTTCCACCCGTTTCCTTTTCTCCTTTTTCCTTTTTTTTTTTTCTTTTACAGAAAAAAAATATAATATTAAATTAACACCTATTAAAAAAAAAAATCAAATTTAACACTTTACTTGCAAATCAAAATGTGTTTCACTTATTTCTCAATTTAAAGAAACGTAACCGCCACCCCTTTCCTTTGCCTTTTTCTGTTGTCCTTTCTTTCACCTTCCTCCAAATTAAGTCTTAACTTTTTCTTTCTTCTTTCTTCATTTTTCGCTTCTCATGTCTCCTTTCCTTTGCTTAAATATACAGTAGCCTTGATCTACAGTACCAAGGATTTGATAATGGCTAATTAAGAAGACAATAAAAAACAAAAAATTTGTGTTAGGTGCTAGTTAATTATTTCCTGTGCAGGCCTCAGTTATTGATCAAGTTAAGGATGTAATCCACAATACCACAAATTAAAATAACATTTTAATGACATGAAAGGGAAGTATTGTCGCAATGTCACTAGAATTTCCAACGTGATGCATGAGGTGGTAAATAATAATTTAATCATAATTATGAGTAAAATAAACAATTGGACAGTGTAGGATATTCAGACTAATCAGGATCGCAACTGATCCTTAACCCCAAAGATTTGCGACGACTAATGTTGTAATCATTTTACAAAGATTAAACAAATTTGAAATTAGCCTAAAACTAGGGTGGGTAGGACAGGGTGGGCATGATGCAGTCTCCACCGTACACAGAGATCCGCGTATCTACCAAACTTGCTGCTTCTGTGTCCTGCCAAAAAAAAAGTGACTAAAATTAATTTTTAGCCCTAACTCTATAATACGAAACATTTTTAATTTTTTATCTTATAAAATTAAAAGATTTTAACTCTTCACTCATCTTATATTATGACACTCTTAACTCTTTATTTATACAAATTAAAGAAAATAACTCTCACTTAATATTAGATTATAATGTTTTGTTAGTTCTATTAACTGATTATTAATATTTTATTAACAAAAGTAACAAATAAAATTGAAATTAAATTTCATGTTTTCTATAACAAAACATTAACAGATGTTAACAATTAGTTAATAAAACTAACAGAATGTTATAACTTAATGTTAAGTAAATGCTATTTTTTTCATTTTGTACAGATAAGAAGTTAAAAGTGTCATAGCATAAAATAAGAGGTTAAAATCTATTAATTTTGTAAGGTGAGAGGTTAAAATCTACTAATTTTGTAAGGTGAGAGGTTAAAATCTACTAATTTTGTAAGGTAATAGTTAAAATCTATCAACTTTTTAAGGTAAAGGCTAAAAGTGTCATGTTATAAGGTGAGAGACTAAAACCTATCAATTTTGTAAGGTAAATGACTAAATGTTGGTTTTTGTCAAAAATAAAAAAAATAAAAAAAATAAAATAAAATAAAAAGAAAAAAGTACGGTTCCAATTAAAGCCAACTTTTAATGATTAGGCCGTTTGGTATTGATTAAGCTTTTTGGTATCGGTGGTTCAATTCAATCCATGTCTTTCTTTTCCCCTAATTTGCCAGCTTTTTTAACGTCTCCCCTCCTCCCCCTCCACCCTACCTTTAAAAAAAAAAAAAAAAAATTTAACGGTTTACAATTTAAAATTTTGAGAAAACGAGATTTTTAAGAGGTTAATAAAGTTTGAAATTTTAATTAATTAACCCAAACATTTTAAATTTTGAGAATAAATCACTTGGATTTAAAAATTTGACTCATTTTTCTTTATTTTTTTAAAAAACGTAATTAATACGAATTTTAAGTATGAGTTTATCTAATATACGTTAAATATATTTTTTATTTAATATAAATTTAGAGTGTATTAAATATATTTTTTATCATAAATTTTTATTAAAAAATAAAAATTAACTTTTAATTTATCAATTACTTAATTAAATTTACCTAACATTAAAATTAATATCAACTTTTTTTATCATAAATTTTTATTAAAAAATAAAAATTAACTTTTAATTTATCAATTACCTAATTAAATTTACCTAACATTAAAATTAATATCAACTTTTACATTAATTTATATACATTTAATACAAAAAAAATACTTTTAAAGGTATAAGTTAAAAAAATATTTAGAATATAAAATTGAAAAAAAAAAAGAAGAAATTTTATAGAATTTGAAGATGCAATTTGAAAAAAAAAAAAAAAATCATTAGTCAATGACCTTAGCTGTTACTAGGATGGAGCGTGAGGATCGTCTTTTCTTCTAACTGGGGAGCACCATGGAACTATGGAAGTGAATCCATCATACTACAGAGGGATTCTCACGCCATCAGAGATTTTACGTTGAAATGTTCTTTAGGGTGCGTTTGATTGTCTACAAATTTAGAAAGAACATTCTTAAAAGTTGCGAGTTATTGAGGCACGGCTTACGTTTAGAATATTTTTTTGTTGGGTTAAAGGCATATATATTTATAGGCAATTACATCCAAATATAATGGATTATATATCTCAAAAAATACTTTTTAAAAATAGATATTGAAAGATTTGTTTTTAGATATATAACTGTCCACAATAAACATAATTGACTATATTGCCTAAATGCTTATACAATTAGTTATATTTTAATTTTAAAATTTGTTGGAGAAAACTGAAGCATGCTGACTTTCAAATATTGGTTTTTCAGATTTTATTTTATTTTATTTTATTTTATTTTATTTATTTATTTGCGTTCTTTGGCACCCAAACGCGTTTTTTCCCCTAATTAAGGTGTCACTTAGACACCTCCGACTCCGTATTACCAATGGATTCCAACTCAACTTGTATAAGTCAAATGGTGCGAGGAAATGGGAATTATTGTGGTATGTTACTATCATCCACCCACTCATTAGTATTATTAGACTCGATATGGAGCTGAAGATTGATGAATTAGTAATAGGTCATTATGTAACATGAATTATTGTGGTATGTTACTATGATTTTAATTACTTTATGGCAACCAGTTACTAGTTAATTAGTAGATAAACTCTACAGTCTACAGTTCATGCTCTGCTGTCCTGCTATCATCCTCCAGGTGAATCCATCTCAAAGTTTCGGGATTAAAAAGACCCATTTAGGTACCTGTTGACCTATTTAAGGGATAAAACGAAAAAATGTACCTAAAACAATAAAATTTTACAGAAGTGTCCCTGAATTAGGGCTCTCCCTCTCTACAAGGGCAATTAAAGTATATGATTATTTAAGCACATGCCCTTGTACTAGATCTGCCCACAAATCATTTTTAGGTGCAACAAATTGCATAGGGCATGTCCCAACAGTATTCTTAATCAATTGGGCTCAAGTGATTAGAAGGATAATAATAAATTTAAATAATTAAAAATTAGATCAAAGGGTTGAAAAAGAAAAGTCAAGTCCGCACTTAGGCCTTCTACCCAATAACGTCAGGTAACGTATAAGTACATTCTTCTTCTTTAGGGTAACTGTTTGAACCGTTCAAAACCGATCCCTTACGACTTTGTTAAAAAAAAAAAAAAAAAGAAGGAAAAGTCAAGTCCCATATAGAGAGGTGGAGAATTAATGTTGTCACAAGAAAAAGTGGTCCCTTTCAGAAAACAGTTTAATGTAATTAAATTTTATCTGTCCCCATCTAAGATCAACAATACATATCAAATCAAAATGTAAATAATTTGAGAAGAAGAAGAAGAAGAAGAATGGTCCAGAAAAATTGAATTGATTACAAGGGTGTGGGTGAAAGTGACAAATTAAATATACATATAAAGGACGAAAGTAGGCCAATGAAAATTTTGGGTTAATAAATTAATCCCATGATTAGGAACTAGGATAATATTAGTAAATGGGAGTTTCATTTTTAACATTCTTTTGTGTGGAAGAAGAGTACACAGTCCAGAAGATTCTTGAAAAGTTAGGTAAGGAAGACTTTGGAAATTTTGTGTCCATGAAAGTGTAATTCATTGTTTGTGGAAGGTGATAAAGCTTATCTAAAAAAGTGCCTCAGAAATGTCTAGAGGTCATAAAATTGAAGATTACAAACCTGGATTATTAACAGGCACCTTAACCCAAAAGGAACGGTGAATGACCCTAGAAAAGTCCAGAAGATTCTTGGAAAGTTAGGTAAGGAAGACTTTGGAAATTTTAGATGACATACATGGAATCAAATTCCAGGCTTTCCCAAAGGTGTGCATCCCCTCTGAGTGCTTAAATTTCTCAACAATTGACCTTATATCAAATTGCTTGCGTTCTGGGGTCTCAATCAACTCCTTGTTTTGTTTCCACTGGCAACCCATGAAGTAACAGTAGTGGAAGGATCTGGACTTGTCAGAGAAGTCACGAGGGGAAGCAAGCCACTTGTATGGTATCCCTTTCAGTCTATAAAACCATAATTAAGAAATGAAAATGAGAGAACACAACCAAAACAGTCAATCAAAGTAAGCAGACAACGTCTTGATTCAATCCAGCTAGCCTCTGCATTTCCTTGAGTCAATATTATCTGTCACAGCAAACATAAACGCCTCAAAGAAAAGGAAAGACTCAGAGACTAATCCATTCATCCATTGCCTGATATCACCAATATCAGAATATCATCACAAGACTGTTGATTCATGCCCATAACAAATTGTTGGATAATGGAACGTATAGACAAAGACCTAATATGTATCTCATGGTAGTTGGACATGTTCCAATCATATTCAGATAGTTTTTGCATAATCAAATACATGAAATTAGCCAGAAAGGGATGATAGCACACAAAATACAAGTTAGCTAGCAAATACAGTAGTATTTTCACTTTGAACTTGGCAGAACATTTGGGGATTATAGTTGGCATGTAAAGGAAACAAGCAGAGTGCAATTGATATTTTATATCACCAAGTTAAAAGAAACACTATTATTTATAAGCTTTAGAAGATGCAGAATAATTAACCCCCATCATTGATTTTTCTCTTTTCTCTCCATTTTCTTCATGCCAAAGATGAAGACATAATTGCATTTGCTTCTTCGACCATCTGCTCATTGAACCCCTTAGCCACAGTGACCTTTCACCCATTGTTTCACAATCTGTTGGATACAAAAACATTAACATCATTGCTGACAAATAAATGCAATAAAGAAAATGAAATATCAATTTATAAGTTAATTTTAGATTGTTAAATAATAGATATTAACTATTCTTAACAATTAAATCAAATTCAGTTTTAATGTCTATTTTTCTTTTTGAACAAATAAAGAATCAAAGTATACTTATTTCTTAAAAAATGAAAGTTTGACAACAAAATAGTCACTAACGCTAGACAAATATGACCAAAAGTGATAGACAATAAGACCACGATAACGACGGTAAAAAATAAAAGCGTGATCAAGATCAAGGGATTAATCCCCAGAGACAACTTGAAAATGCCTTAGGGGTGTACTTGTGATCTCGGTTGACTTTAGGTACGAACCAAACCCTAACCTTGCGGTTGAAGCAAATCGATCTCGAATCAATAATTCAATGGTGCTATTCCTCGACCTTTTCGTTTTGCTTGAATGCATATCTAGTGGAGGAATTTTGGAGGCAAACAAAAGGCATCAAAGGGTAATTGCTTGGGCCCAAGCGGTTGACCGTTGCTGTTGGGCCGACCAGGTCCGTTAACCATAGTCGGTTGGCGTGCAAAGATGAAAAGATGACCTTCTCCTTCCCTTTTTCTTTTTTTTTTTGAACAGTCCTTCCTTTTTCTTTTCTTTTTTTTTTTTTTTTTTTTTTTTTTTTTAATTTGTGTTTTCCACTTAATAGTCCGGTTCCAAACCTGAGGGTATTCACTTTACCATGAATATTGGACAATACACAGGAATTCAATGGATTTTGACAGGGTGTGAATGTACAGTACAGCTCCCCCCATTTCAATAGAACAATGATCAGGAAACACCATTCCTCTATCCGATGACACAATCACAATCTAGCAAAATCTAGATGACTAACTTAAAAAAGGAAGAGAATACAAAACATAATTCTTCTTGCTACTATACAACTTTGAATGAAAAAACCTGTAGGCCAAGTTCAGGTCACTGAGCAGGTTTTCCTTCCCTCTTTAGCAACTCCTGAAGAAAGCGGCAGAACCAAATTAATAAAAGATGATACAAAAACCATTGCTTCTACATGATCAAAACAGGCCCACCCCACCTCTTTGGTAGCAGCAATTGAATTCTGCTGCCTTTCTCTCTTCTCACGCTGGCATTCTCCACACCAGCTTGAAAAATCTTTCTGGTATTTCCTCAGCTCACGGAATACCGAACTAAAGATGCCACAGATGCAGTTTGAACAAAATTAAAATAGTTGATCAACCATAGGAATGTGAATCAACACAAAGCATAAAACAAAAATACACAATCTATAATGTAAGGGTACATAATAAAGAGGCATAACAGGGATTTCAAGCTTAGGGGCCACATAGTGAAGATGAATATGAAAAGCAATTGAGAACTTTGGGGTTCCAGCTCAATCCAATAAAAAAGCCAAGACTCAGCTTCTTCGTTTCCTCTTTAGATTGTTCCATATCTTTCTTGGAAGTTGGCACATCAATGTTTACCAATACTTCAGAACAAAGAGAAAGTTATGCTTATCAATTCTTCTGGGAACATCTTCGAAAGACTAGTGTTTGTTTTGATACATTTTATACTAAAGGGAATAAATATGATAATAAAAATACCTTCTGCACCATAACAGTAAGTTGACCCGGCGACCGGAGACTGTGGCTCTAGCACCATGCCTATGGCAACCACGATGAAGAACAGCTCGTCCTGGAACATGGGAATAGTCTAAAATTTCCTGTTAATATACCACGAAAATGAAATGTCAAATGAACCTTGGCTATGATAACTAAAAACAAAATAGTACCGAGAACGATAGACTCTTTTCATCTATCTGGTTACCAAAAATTTATTAAGTTTATCTGGCATTGAATTTTTTCTTTTTTTTTCTAATCTTATCTGGCATAGAAATACTTGAGAAACAAGTCTATAGTACCAAGAACAATAGAACCACATAAGTGATGGTCCTCCCTGATTTGATATTTTAGCGAACTTTACAAAATAGAAGCTAAAATGCTTAGTGGTTAAGCTTGCAAAGGAAAAACTTTAATTGGCCTCAAAGATCTGGTCCATGAAAGAGAAGAAAATAAATGATTAACCTACCTCTGGCTGGGTTTCTGTGTTCACATGCTTATCACACCGAACACCCCCCAAGAACAAATCCCCACCAGAAAATTGGTTACCCAAGCAAATATTCAAGGTGATTTCAGAATCATCCACATGGAAACCTACAAAAAGGAAGGCATAAAATTTAATCAAGTGAAAACTTTATAAACATGTTGGAAACACGTTCCACCAGGAAAACCAGGGTTAAATCCCTGGTCCAAAGTTCCCCTCTTACTCTCTGGACCAATTCCCACATTTTTGAGAAATAAAGAAAGTGAAAATGAGGGAGAGAGAATAGCAAAAAGAGCAAATGTAATGTCATCCAGGATCTATTGCAAGAAAAAAGATATCAAAAAATGTATTCATTTAATAATAAATAATGTTTCCATTAGCAAGAAATATTAAGTCCGTGCTAATAAACAATAAGCAGAGTAAACAAAATTATTAATGCGACCCAGCTACAGACAGTAGAATCCATAACTTCCTCATGGTTTTCATCTACCTTGAGTAACGCTTTAACATTCTATTTGCAGTGGATGATAAAGGAACAGAACAGATCATGAACTTAAAAAACATAATTATTCAGAGGCCATGGGTATTTCCATGCCACAATATGCTGGATACACACAATGATCCAAATATGCAAGCTAGGCTCAGGCTGAAAATGCTAGTATCTTGCATAGATGCAGCAAATTTGGGTCTTGAAATAGCCCTGCCCTTCACAGAATTAACGCCATTAATTGAACATGAAAGGAAGAGGAAAAAGAAAAGAGTAAAAGTAAGCACCCTACCAAGCTCAACATCTCTATCTATTCCATATTCCACAACAAAACCATGATGAGAATCTAGTGTTGCCCCACCCACTTCAGGAAAGAAGACTGCATGACATTTTGAAACAACAAAATAAGTCTAATTCAAAATACTGAATCACATGCTCTAGTTATACTTACAGTGTTAGAATGCTTAAAAAAGTTATTACTTTTGGATATAGGGCGGATGAAGTCTTCCATCAACCTGTTAAGCATGGCCTCGAGGCCAAAGTCATCTAAAACAGCACCAAATTTGTTCATTGTGTTTGGCCGCATGATTCTGAATTTTGTCTGATGTACCCATCTTTCAAAGTTTTCTACCTAAGCAATCAGAACCTGATAAGACATATATAAAAAAAGACTAAAAGACAAGAAGATCAAAAGATAAACTCAGACATGCCAAATGAGAATGAGGGATGATACCTCAGACAACAATAAGTCGCAGAATTGTGGCTGAAGCATTTCAAAAGTAAATACTCCAGAAACTGGTTCGGTCATTACACTTCTAAAACTTTCCTCTTTATTCTCATTGATTGCATAGAGAAATGAGGGGACAAAGAAGTATGCAGCATTCATAGTATATAGCTCCTTGCACAGGGGCTGCCAAGAAGATAAATCAGTTAAGGAGAAAAACATAGATAAAAGAGTTACAAGGATGATTAATGACTGACATTAAGCTGCCATTTAGTTAAAGTAAAATTAAATACTTACTTTGGCAGGTCCTAATTCCTAATAAATGCTATCATAAAAGCATTTTTGACATATTTTGCACAGCAACCATAAAGGGTTAATAACAAGTTATTGCATGAAGCAGCACGGTAGTAAATGGTTGTAACATCAATTTTATTCTTTTATTATTTTTTTTTTTTTGATCAGCCAACAAATTAACTTTTACTAAAGGGAGTACAGGGGGTACTCAAGAGAGAAAACTTTGTTACCAGATTATAGTCATTAATCCCATGTTAGTGACATTAATTTTATTGACACTTAAAGCCTTCTTGTCAAGCATTAACAAAATTACCTGATAGTTTGCTATGATTTTTTGTCGGTACTCTTGATGTCTTTGAACCTGTTAGAAAGTTGAACTATCATGAATAACTGCATTCTGCAGATGTACTAAAATTAAAACATAATAAGAAGAAGAGAACCATAGAACTTATAAATAGGATAAAGCAGTGGCGCATCAAAATGTTGGTAAAACAAACATTGTCCACAATGAAATGCATCATTTCAAAGAGAAGGCTGAGTATGATTTACAAACGTGGATTGAAATATGATGGTAAATTACAAGTTGATTGAAAAATAAATTTGAATATGCAACACATAAAACTCCAAAACTGACCCAGAAAGGAGCATTTCTCTATCTCTCTATCTCTGTTTCCTTCCAATTTTTTTTGTTATCTACTATTTTGCAATCAATCAAAGAGGGATGCTCGTATAAGAGCTTGGGAGCACATGCCTGAAGCAAGTGAATATTTAAAAGAACAGATTAAGAAAGCCAATTTTAAGAGGCAATTCTCTAAAAAAAACAGAAGTTTACTGTTATCTCTTAAATTTTTGTGATCAGCCAGTAAACACCAAGCACATGAACAACACAACAGCACCAGCAGCTGTTGCTTTTCAGAAATTCCCACACAAAGACGTATCTAAAAACTGAATTCGAAGTAATGAGGAAATCTAACAACTAAGCAGCCATATGGTAAACCCCGGAGATGGATAGTTTTCAACAAGCAATGCAGATAGCATAATAGCTTCAATCACATGGAAGCTCAGCACATTCTCCTAAACTTTGACCTCTGTCATTGTAAATTTACCCTTCCATAGCTGCAACTGGTAGGCTTCAGCAGAGACGATAATCCCTACGCGAAAGAAATAACCAAACACATACACACATGCAAACATATGTACAAAAATGCTTACTCGATTTCTTTCGCCCTCGGGAGAGTACCGCAGGAGAATGTCGCACATGTATTGGAGCTTGTCGTCACGAGAGAGGGCGAGCATGGAAGGAGGCAAGTAAGACTCCAGGGAGCTGAAGAACAGGGGACTGAAATCCAACTGCATGTCCTCGTAACTTTCGGGCTTGTGCTCCGTATTAGGGTTCAGCCTCAGCCGGTGCATTCCCGTGCCAGGTAAAAAAGCGACGCGATTTCGGTTGTGGCCCGCGCTCGCCTGTGGTTGCTGTTGAGGCGCCTTTCTAGCAGCATCCAGAGACATGCTTCCGTCTTTCTTCTTTTTTCCTGTTTTCCAGTATGAAGGATTAGGAAGACGGGGAAATTCAGACGGAAGATTGCAGAGGCATTTGGGTATTGAGATTGAAATTCTGCAACTAGGGTTATGAAGGAGGATGAAGAAAAGTCATCTTGCTCTGCAGGTTAGGGTTTTGTTTGGGAGGTGACGTGGGAGGCGGGACCCAGAAATGTGGGGACTGTTAATGACGTGGAATGCTCATTGCAATTTTCTCTTGAATAACTTTTTCGTTTTTTTTTTTATATAATTTTTATGTATTATTAAGTGGATCAACCTATTTAATATTTAAATATTTAAATAAATTAAATAATTTAATTATTTTAATAATATATTAAATTAAATAAAAAAATAAAATAAAAAATTATTTAAAAAAAAACATTTTTGTTTTTTCTTCCCTTAAAAAGTGTATCAAAATAAACATAAGGAATATTGTAATTATAATATTAAATAATATTTTAAAAATATGTTATAACATATTAATTATTTTATTTTATTTAAGAATTATTTTATTATATTATATATATTTAATTAATATTATATTATAATTATAAATTTATAATTTTAAATAATTATATAATTTTACACTTTCTCACCCGTGTATTTAGAATTTAAACACTTATATTCTTCTTCTTTACTATTAGGGCTAGGCACTATACCATAAATGCCACAATTACTATT